TTTTAGCTTGAGCTATGGCTTCTCACGAGCTATCCTTAAATGAATAATGGTTTCCTACTTGGTAATCTAGACTGAAATATATAAAACACACACTGTACACTCATATATATGTGTGCATATATGAATGTGTATGTGTGTATATAATGTGTGCATGCACACATATGCAGAATATGTGTGAATACATTCTCAATTGTTTAACTCACTTAAAATCTAGAAAGCTGCAAGCAGGTCTCATGTTCCCCTTTTCCTGAACTATATCCCGATGCTGCTTCAATAGGTCTTACTATTTTGGTGGTTAAAAAAAAAAGAGGAACCGGGCCTCCTTGGTCATGCAAGGGGTTGAGACCCAACCTATGAAGCTATCCGCAGCCGGGGAGCTGCCCACATGGTGCAGCAGACCTCTCAGGACTTGCCCGCTGCTCCCCTCAGCAGTGTATTTCAGTCAATCCGCCTGTTCTGTTCCCCACTCTGTCTCTGGTGAATCCTCTCACCTCTCCGCACCTCTGGCCTACACCCCAGCTCTTGTATGCATAAATACATACATCTTTTAAACAAAACCATTTCAAAAAATAAAAGAACCAGTAAGGCAAAGAAAAATTGGGAAAATCTAGGACCACTTATGTTGTTTTCACTAGAAACTTCACTCTCTACCATCATAGCCTTTTTGTATATTAACACTACTACTATTAACTTACGTGGAGAATTTTTGGAGTGTTCACAGACCCAAAAGGTAATTTACCAAATCATACCAATAGGATCATTCTACTTTCAGATAGCAAGAAAAACTGTACATATTATCACTCGCTAGCCAGCAGTGAATCTGAGCATTTACATGTGGTCTCCGAGGTAACCTGGGCTTCCTTGCAGCATGGGGGACTTAGGTTACAAGTCTGAGAAAAAACACAACATTCCACTGCTCAAAGCAAGTCTGCATTTCTTTTTATGATCTAGCCCTGGATGCTGCAAAACATCACTTCCACCATACCCTATTGGTCAAAGCAGTCTCAACTGCACCCAGATTCAAGCAGAAGGGCATAGATCCCACTCTTCACGGAAGGTGGCAGATCACACTTTAGAAGAGCATATGGGATAGGGCCTCCACTGGTGGCACAGCGGTTGAGTACTGGGCTGCGAAGATGCCCAAAGCCTCTGCAGCACTGGTTCGATCCCCGGCCACAGGCGAGGGTCCCACATGGCGCAAAAGACCTCTCCTGCCGCGCCCGCTGCTCCCCTCAGCAGTGTACTTCATCAGTCTGCCTGTTCTGCTCCCCTCTCTGACCTTAGTAGCTTGTCCTGTAGGGGTCACAAGCAGGAGATCCAAGAACCAGGGGCTCAGAGAATATACCCCCTGTTTCCTCCCTGCACCATGTGACACATTTCTAACTACATCACATTACTATGTAACTTTTTAGCTCACATGAAAGTGACCCTTTCCCCATAGCTCCAGCTCTCACTGGGTTCTAGCAAGATGACTTCTACTTCTCTTTCCTTTAAAGCTGGGGGTGATAATGGCTTTTGCTACTGCCAGTTTAAGTGCCTGAATATCCCTTGTTTAATCCTGAACCCTGCCACAAAGCCTATAAGCAGTTCTGCATCAAAATCTCTTCATTTAAATAATTGAGAATTCTTATTACCAGGACCGTGATTGATACAGGCACAGGATGGAAACCAAATAAAGATTCAGAGAACAATGTGAAAAAGTAATAACCAGACTTCCAATAATTTCTCAATATTTGATAAAGTGTTGAAGACTATAACTAGGTCCCTCCATGGAAAATGACAGATTTTATATATATATATATATATAGGAGCGGTATAGCACAATAACTATATCCTATTACTCTTTTGAAAATAATCTTTTTCACAAAAAATATGGGTAATCCCTTAAACCCTTGATCAAATAAACATGTTCATTGTTATATTTCCGATTTACCATTAAAACAATCCTAGTTTCTATCATTCTTATGAAACATGTTCACCTCTTTTCAAGATGTTTATAAACAACATAGTAGTTTAACAGCTTTTATAGCTTCATTGGAGACTGAAATTAAGCCTGCTTGTCTAAGCTTCCAAAATACCCTTTTCACCAGTTATTTTTAAAAGGAATGCTTACCTGTCTCCTAGTTTGGAGCTACTACGTCTGAAGTCCATGACTTCTCAAAGATGACTAGTGCCAATGAAGTTAATTTATGTCTGTAAATTCCCTGATTACCTTAGGTGATACAGATCTCACTTTATGGTCCTAAATATCTTTAAAAAGACTAAAAAGAAAAGCTATCACATTTTGAATACCAGTTAAAACATCTCAACTTAACTGTGACCTATTTCTTTTCTTTTTTTTAAAGATTTATTTATTTATTTATACAAGAACTGGGGTACAGGCCAGATGTGCGGGAGGGTGAGTGGATTCACCAGAGACAGAGCGGGGAACAGAACAGGCAGACTGATGAAATACACTGCTGAGGGGAGCAGTGGGCGAGACAGGAGAGGTCTGCTGCACCACGGGAGTCACTCGTGCTATAGAGGCTGCAGATTGCTTCATAGTGCGGTGCTTAACCCCTTGCACCACCAGGGAGGCCCACTATCTCTTTTAATTTATATTGCCAGTTACAGTTTCTGTCACCTGAACTCCAAAGCTGTGATAGTAAGATCTAAATCTTGCATTTCTTTTGTCTAAAGTATACTTAACAAAGCATCTTACCCAGTCATATTTAACATGTACTTGTCAAGTACTTGTAATATGTTGTGGGAAGAAAAGAAACCATAATAAACCACCAATTCTCCTCTTTGAAAAGCTTCTGGAGGGAGGCAATATGTATTTATTCATAAACAATCTAAGGTAATAGGGGATTACAAATGTAAATATAAACTGAACATGAAAGTAGTTGAAGTCAAAGTACTCAAGGGAACAATGGTGTCCATGAGAAGCCACTGTCCATATGGTCCTAGGCTAGGGAGCCTTAGACTTGACAGATGAGTAGAGGATAGGAGAGTGGAGAGAGCAGGCCAGAGAGGACTTTCAGTTTGCTTGTTTTAACTGTGACTATTGGTTGAAATATGCAACTTACAAAAACATAAACAGGTAGTTAGCTAAAACTTTTTCCAAGTATTTGTTTCAGACTTTAGTGAATGTCACATTTTACTTAAATCTATGTGGCCGGTTCTACATAAGTGGTTCTGAACCACTTATAAGTGGTGTCCTGCACCCTTAGAACCAACAAGCTGAGTGGATCCAGGTGTGTGGGTTAAAGTTTACATTTTAAAAATGCAAAATTACAAATACAAGCAGTATGTGGAAATGTGGAAAACTGAATTTAAAATGAGGAAAGAAATCTCAACAAATGACTGAAACCATGGAGATCTAGATGCCTTTCTTCTGAGATAGCTGTAGGCCATAAGTGCTTAAGTAGAAATATCCGAGGTTGCAAACTCCATTCCCTTCCCATCTGCGAGCAGCTGGGATACTGGGAACACCTACAACTCCCAGTAACCCCAACCTTCCCAGAGGGCTAAATTAAAGAGCTCTGAAGTTTAAATGTCATTAACTTCACCTTAGATCTACCCCTGAAACTCATTCAAATTCTGATTCTGCAGAGGGGGCTGGGGCACTCAGAATCTGGGGAAAGAGAAACCATCTGACAAATTTAAAATAATCCCAGATGATTCTGATAGACAATTGCCACTCCCAACCCTCCCATCTCCCACAGTGGAAGCCTCACAATGCAGAGTCCATACACCAATAGTCACGGATTAATGGTAAGGTAGAGAAAAACTGGCCAATTGCACTTGATCTGAACATAAAGTGTGCGCAGAATATGCAAAGTCAGTGTCAACTTTTTACAAGCAAATATAAACTATATGATTCCACTGTTTTACTATTTAATCCATTGACAGATCAAGTAACTTTATCAAGAGCACAAAACTGAGACACACCATCCAGAATACAACTGTGCCTGCCATTTCATTTAATCCTAAAAAAAAGGGGGTGGGGTGGGGGGGGGGCGAAGGTGGTTCTTCGTGGGATCATAGTATGCTTGCTCACTTTGTAACTTCCAGGATAATGCAGAACTTAAGTGTCCCGCTTTATCTAATACCTCAAGGTAACATGTACCTACTGCAGTCTTTTCAGTAATTAATACAATGCGCTTATCTCAAGTCTTCTAGCAGCTGCAACCTGAGAAACAGTAGTGACATTCAGCTGCCTGCAAGAAAGGTGTTTTTCTTTACCGAAATCCTTTAAGAAATTACAACCACCAATTTACACGCACCATGGTCTACGCCCACCACTAACCCGAGTCAATTTCCCGCCAACTATAACAAGTTACAAGGGGCATCTGGTCCCAGTGGGCTGGGGGGCTGAGGAGCTGGGGGGCTGGGAGGCAGGAGCTGACTCTTGAAAAATCCATAGCTCTGCTGCAGAAGAGCTTCCTGTTAGACACGCGAGCATTTTTCTCCTGAAAAGGGAAATCTCTCCCACCCATTCCCAATGGACTGGAGTGGAGACACATCTCGGGGGTCACCCAAGTCTCAAGCCCATAACCACAACACTAAGAATGATTTTCTAGCCTCGGGGATCCCTCTCCCAGAGTTCAGCGCCGGCTGCTCCCGAAAAGCTGCTGCTAGGGTCGGGGGTACTTCGGGCCACCAGGCTCCGCGCTTTGGGCTCCGTCCAGAGATGTCGCGCCAGAGAAGAGGTGAAAGGGGGTGCGGGGTGCGGGAGGTGGGGAGAATCACAACTTTGCAAACTCCACGAAGCCCCAGCTCTGCGGAGCGGAAGGTCAAAGTGCCAAGGAGGGAGCGGCTGCGGGTCAGGGCCCCGCCCGCACGCAGCCCGGGGCGCGGCGAGCTGCCCGGCGGGCTCGGGCAATCGGGGGAGACCGCACCCACCTCCAGCTCGGAGCCTCCACCCGCCCCGCGAGCGCGCAGAGGCGGCTCCTGCACGGCGGGGCCAACTCCCCGAGTTGACTTGGAACTTTCCCGGGACGCGCCGCCGCCCTCACCTTGCTGAACACCTCCAGGTCCTCCTCGTCCTCGTCCAGGTCCAGCACCTCGGCCTGCAGCAGGACGGGGCAGCCGCTGCCGCCCGGGAGGGGGGCGCCTCCCCCGGGGCTCTCCCCGCCGGCGCCCCCAGCCGGGAGCCCGGAGGAGCGCGCCTGAGATGCCCGGCGCTCGCCCTCCATCCCGAGAGTGCGCGCCCGGCCCGCCGCCGCCGCCAGCCCGGCTCCCCCGAGCGTGCCCATTGGCTCCCGCGCATCCTGCGCCTCCCCGGCCGGCCCAGCTCCAGCCCCTGGCCCGCTGCGCAGACGCGGAACTGCCGGCGCGAGCGCGGGGCCCGCTCTTCGCCACCTGGCCTGGGCCTGCTGGGGACGCGCGGGCTCCGGGTGGGGTGCAGGGAGGGGCAGTCCCTTGGGGGAGAGTGGGGCGCTGGGAGGTAGGAGCAGGGCGTCCCCGCACTGGCCTGGCTCTGGCTCTGGCTGGAGGGCTGCGGACAGTTTCCAGGGGACAGGGGTCTGGGAAGCAGCAGCAGCAGAGATCCTTGAACTTGGGGGGGCTGGGGGAGCGGGGTTCACTGCGGGGATTGGAAGGCAGCCGAGCCCACCCATCCCGCCAAGAGGAAAAGCCAATACTGTATTTCCTGTATTTTAATGGTTACCTTCCTTCTGGGTTTTCCAGTGTGTGTTCGACTAAAGGTTAATGCAAAAGTGAAAGACGTGAAAAGCTCCTTTGCTTTGTCATTGATTTTTAACCCAGGGACCGGACTCTGTGGTCATTTCACTGTTAAACCAGAGGAGTTAGATTTAAAAGCTACTTTCAGCCACTTTCAAATGTACCTTTACTTCTGGAAGTCTTCCTGAAGTTAATGAGCAAGAGGCTTACCAAGAACTGAGGACACGGAGCAGGACTAGACGTTGCCAGCAAGAAATAAACGCCAATGCAAAACTAATTAATTAGCTGTTCACTGCTTAAAAATAACAAAAAATCTACATTCCAAAAATAATGATAGTTGAAAGCAAACTTAGAGATTCTTAAACTATCCTCATGTTTTCTTACTCTTTTCACCCCAAGCTCTTTTCTCCCATCAGGCCTGGAAGTAATGTATAAGAAGTTTGCATAACTAGGGAGAAGACTAAGGAAGACTTGATTTCAAAAGCCTCTTTTGGAAAAATATGTAGCCAATTTTTAAATGAATTTTTAAAAATAGTAGAAGATCTGTATCTATGGAGCATGGAAACAGAGAATTTCTCTGTGTCTGATTAGAGAATATGGCCTTATGTGTGCCCTCCTGAGTACTCCAATGTAGCTTCCATCGATTTTGGTGCATACATGAATTTTTCAGTCATGCTGGTCTTCCTACACCAGGAATAGGAAGTCTCCTTCCTGTGCTTTATGGTTTGTACCAAATGTCATCTCCTACCCAGGAATTAGCTGTTGTCCTATCTCTTTGAGAAAGACTTTCCAATTTAAATTTCCTAATTTAGCATTAATTTTATTCTATCTTATAGACTGTATTTCTTACAGATAAGTGCTTTACATTCCTTAGTAAAGTACAACCTTTTAAGGTTTGGGATCACATTGTTTATTAATACAACACAATATCAGGTGCACTCACTTTAAAAAGCTTTCTGCTAAGATCCATAAGGAATACAAGTTATTAAAAGATTTTTTTTGTCTCTAAGTTCATCTTGCTGAGGTTTTCGAATTGTCATCTGAACCAGGAAATTCTTAAGGATAATGTGATTCACAGAAATGCCAGAAAGCATAGGAAACACATGCAGAAAATGGGCAGAGCAAACCAAGACTACACCACAATCGAAACTGTGCCACAGAAAAATCATGTGCAGACACCACTGCCTGTGTCTCCTCTGTGATCATCAGTATTGGTAGCACAGCCGCTTTGATAACTGCCACAGCTTTTACTCCCACAAAATGACATGCATTCCTGTTTCCTGTGTTAATAATTTTAGTTTTGAACCCCCAGAGAGCAGATCTGCTTGGCCCACTTCACCAAGTGCACAGAGCTGCCTAAAGTAGAGAATTTTCTAGACATAGAAAAGCTATATTGATGCTGGTCAGGCAAATGAAGAAAAAATTTACTTCTACTAGAAATCACCCAAAAGTAATAATTTTGACTACCCAAAAGAAATAATTTTGTTTACTTACATTCTTTTCCTCAAGCACCTGGGAATACAGTCCCCAAAGGGAGAAAACCCAAGGCTACTCATTATTGATACAGATCCAAGTCTATTCTGCCTGTAATTTCACTGTAATCTGGTTAATATTTTGTAACTTTTGGACTACCTTTTTAGCTTAATCACCAACCTGCTTACTCATTACCATGAAAAATCTACATTGCACGTTAGCAGTCTCAGCTTCCCATTAAATGGGATCAAAATTGTGTTCATTAGTAAAAAATTATTCTTTGGGTACTAAAATCTTTAAACCAACAGAGTCCAAATAAGTACAATTATAATATCAAGAGGAGCCCCACCCATTCCTGTCCCTTGATTTCTGGTTCTTATTATAAAAGAATAGTGTATTATTTTTGATTCTGAGAATATATATCTATCCAAAAAGTTCCCTCTCCCCCAGCCCCACACATTCCCAGTGGGACCTGCTGAGACCAAAACCAAGTCTTTAATGTGCCATTTAGTGGAATTCAAGCTAAGGTAAGTCACCCCTTTGTGCCTTTTGCTGGAACATGATTGAACTGTCTTTTTATAATGGTGTGTACAAAATATGATGGAAAATACCAATTAGTAAACTCATAAATTGTCATGCTGGGGGAAACTTGCTGAGCAGAAGAGCAAACTCAATATGTCTTTTCCACAAAGTGTTGAAACACTGGAAGGTTCACAAACCTGCCTAAATGAATTCTTGGAAGCTCAAACTTCAAAGTATGAAGTGAGCTACCACCGCTATCAGTAAGGAACATCAGCAAGAAACTCAGAGTGATGTAAAGAAGTTAGGAATTTATTAGGGGAAGGAGAGTAGAGTACAACCCCCTCAGGGGAGGGGATCTCCAAGGAGATACTGGTGAGATAGTTTATTAGGCTACTTTATATATTCTTTCTGGCTTCATCAGGCATTGCCAAAGTCTCTTGCTTCATTTCCAGCTGTTGTTTTTTCTCATTATTGCTTTCTTCTTGGCCAGCAGATGTTTTCTCTGAATCTGAATTTGGTCTGGGGTCTCTGGCCACTAGAAACCTACTGGGTGCTTATCCTACTGCCTGTCACAGTATAAATCATGGTTTCCTCCAGATTGTGTGGCAAGCAGGCCCCTGACAGTTGCTGCTATGGCAAGTTGAGTTCTTAGCCTTGTGAGAACTGGTTCCCCTTTACAGAGGGGGAAGTCCATGTTGTTGAGCCAATGCAGACACATAGCCCTCCCACGACAGTTGTGGAGGCAGTACCTCAAAGGACCAGGTAACAAATGATTAAGACAGTTAATTGTAGGGCCTCAGAATCCAGGAAGCCAAGAGTTAATTAAGGATACCAATTGCTAACTCTCAGCAGGAGGTTAGGATGCAAGGTTGATTTGCTGAAAGCATACTATTTGATTAATGTATGTTAAATGGACTCCTTAAGGGCATTTGAGTCCCCTTCTGATTTGCTCTTGGACAATGATGTCTCTGACTAGCCCCTCACCCCTACCCCCAGTTTGCTTTACTCAGGGGTAAAAATGCCTAACAAAAACAATTTATTTTGATAACCAGTTTGCAACCATCCCTATTCAGTTTAAACAGCCCATTAGTCCATAAAGAATCCATGGCATCCATAGTTGCTTCCTTCTGGAGCTGAAATTCACATCAGTCTCATTAACATACTAAAAGCCCCCCTAGAGGAGAAATTGAGCTGCCATTTTCTGAATATGAGATGGAGAAGCATGCACTTTTCTGCTCATACTCAGATGAGCAGGGCTGCCAATATCTCCGACACCCAGCCAAGACTCCCTCATCTTCTCTTACTCTCCTTTTCTTTTAAAACCCTTCCTAGCTTCTTTCTAAAAAGATTTTTAAAATTTTTATTTATTTATGCATACAAGAACTGGGGTGTAAGCCAGAGGTAAAGGGGATGAGAGGATTCACCAGAAACAGAGTGGGGAGCAGAACAGGTGGATCTACTGAAATACACTGCTGAGGGGAGTAGCTGGTGAGACAGGAGAGGTCTGCTGTGCCATGTGGGTTAGCTCCCTGGGTGGGAATGAAACTCATGCTGCAGTGATTGGTGATAGCTTGATAGTGCTGACACTTAACCCCTGAGCCACCAGGGAGGCCCCCCTTTTCCAGCTCTTACCCAGAGAGGCAGTCAGTGGGGCATTCACATTCTTTTTCCTTCACTACCTGTACAAGCAATAAACTTCTCCACCTCCAACAAAAGTTGTGTCTATTCTATTTGGGCTACATTCAAGCCATGAATATATTAACTATGTTAACACCTCGGTTGCTTGATATGTGAGGCCATGGAACAAGAACTGAGAGAGAAGTAGCATTAGCATTTATAGAAAAAGAATTCTTATTAAACTTCTATCTGATCATATAAATTCACCAGGTGGAGCTTTTTGGAAAGCATTGCCATGGACCAAAAATGTGCTTTTATTCTAGGATTAATGCAAGGAGCCCATCATATACATTGACCCAAACCTGCTTAACTCCTAGGTGCTACCGCTAGATGTTTCTTCTGAGTCACATCAATTGCAATCTCTAGCCCTTGTCCTTGAGACAATGTAGAATACTCACCCTAGTCTATCACTCCTGCAAAGTGGGCAGTTATGTACTGTGGAGAGGATTTCTCTTTTTCTTTCTTTCTTTTTTTTTTTTTTTTTTTTTTTAAGATTTACTTATTTATTTATACAAGCACTGGGTACAGTCAGAAGCACAGGAGGGTGAGAGAATTCACCAGAGCCAGAGCGGGGAGCAGAACAGGCAGAAGGACCGAAGTACACTGCTGAGGGGAGCAGCGGGCGGCAAGAGAGGTCTGCGCGCCATGTGGGACCCTCCTCCGGTGGCCCGGGAGCAGCCGGGGATGAACCAGCGCTGCAGAGGCTGCGGGCAGCTTCACAACCCAGTGCTCAACCGCTGTGCCACTGGGGAGGCCCGGATTTCTCTTTTTTATTGCCCTTTCCCACAACAGTGTACTTCTAGATGATCCCCGCACATCATAAAGGACTATGTGCAAACTGTTTTTTTTTTTTTTTTTTTAAGATTTATTTTTTATTTATTTATTTATTTTATTTTATTTATACAAGCACTGGGTACAGTCAGAAGCGCGGGAAGGTGAGAGAATTCACCAGAGCCAGAGCGGGGAGCAGAGCAGGCAGAAGGACCGAAGTACACTGCTGAGGGGAGCAGCGGGCGGCAGGAGAGGTCTGCGCACCATGTGGGATCCTCCTCCAGTGGCCCGGGAGCAGCCGGGGATCGAACCGGCGCTGCAGAGGCTGCGGGCAGCTTCACAACCCGGCACTCAACCGCTGCGCCACCAGGGAGGCCCGCAAACTGGTTTTGAATATTTTGAATATTTTGTGGTACTCCCTATGATCACTCCTATCTGGAGAGACAAATGCTGATACAATAATGCTTTGGGGACCATTTTCATATATTCCGTTTCCATGACCATATGGTATGCTGAAGGCTTACCCAATTTAATGATTTTTAAAATAATATAGTACCTGTTTCATGATGAACTCTTCAGGACATTCTGATGTCCCATGTCTAAATATTTGATCCTTGCCAGAACTCTGTAACAAATCAAAGCTTTGCTGGTTTGTTAAGTGTGGAAAAGAGGGCATATTTTGCTTTAAAACTTTATTTTTTTGTATTTTTTTAAGATTTATTTCTTTATGCATACAAGAGCTGGGGTACAGGCCAGAGATGCGGGGGGTGAGAAGATTCACCAGAGACAAAGTGGGAAACAGAACTGGCAGACTGACTGAAACACACTGCTGAGGGGTGCAGTGGGTGAGGCAGGAGAGGTCTGCTATGCCATATGGGTTGCTCCCTGGCCGGGGATCGAACTCGTGCTGCAGAGGCGGCGGATTGCTTCATAGTGTGGTGCTTAACCCCTTGCGCCAACAGAGAGGCCCCTGCTTTAAAACTTTATAATGTTTCAGAATTTGTCATAGGCCCCAGAGAACATCATTATTTCCACTGACTCATCAATAATATTATTGGGAATAGCTAATTGGTGGTGAATTTGAGTCAGATAATTTCATAAGTATATTTTATGTGTTCATTCATTTACATCTTGCAAACACCTTATGATGTAGCTGCTATTTTTAGCATTCCCAGATTACAGATGAGGAAAATGATAAGCAGAGATGTTTAGTAACTTGCCCAAATTAAATGTAAGTGTAAATAATTTACTGCTCATTGAAAAAAGTATTATATGTTATCTTTTAAAAAAGAGGATTCATAAGGATATTTGGGATTTCTTATAACTAGAATTTAGGAGAATAGATAATTCTAAAATCCTCCCATTATAAACCCCCATCAAGTATAACAACACTCCTTTTAATGTTTGACTGAGCTTGTAAAGAAAGTAATTAACTTCTAGGTGCAAGAAACAAAGTAATTTTAAGAGAATGAGACTAAACATTTGAGCTGATACTCTGACTGCCCTCAGGGTGGACTGGAAGGTTTGGCCTCAATAATCTAAAAGCTTGAATGATCAGGAAGGAATAACGGAAGTGTAAAATGTAAGATATTCACTCAACACTAAAACTCTTTTGAATTATGTCAGGATGTTACAGGGCAGAAGGAGGGGTACCCTGGGACCTCCCAAACTGCTGCTCTAAATGTGTTGTCATTCACTGCATCAAGAAAACATACTTTAGTGCATAAGACTTTTAGTAGAAAATAATTTTAATGCAATTAGTGTGCAATAAAAAGGAGAGAAAGAATATAGTTAAAATAGTTTCCAATTAATCATCCAAAGTTACCCATCTGTTCATGGATAAATGCCCACAAAACAGGGTTGGCCCAAAGCAAGACCACTGAGTCCCAAAAGCTTGTCAGAAGTCTAAGGCACCTTCTGGTGGAGACCCATTGAAAAGGGACAGAAGGAGCCAGGCAAATCTAGAAGGAAAGGAGAAAAATGAAAAACCATATAAAGATAAAGGCTGCCACTGTCAGCCTCACCATGATTCTCTCACCTACATCTCTTTCAAGTGCCTCCTCCATGTCCCCCAAGTCCTTTGTACAAGTCCAAGGTCAAGCAAGCACAGCTTCTTCACATCTCTTCTCTCCACATGCCTCCTTTAGGTCCTCTTCTTGATCTCCTTCCTTACTTCTCCCAGTTTTCTAGAGCTTCTCCTCCCTGTTCAGTTCTTCCCTTTTGTAGGGTATGGCAGGGAACCTGAACCCCCCTTCCATGGGAATTACTCTGTTACAAGGCTCCATATGGGAAAGATAAATTCCCCCCAAAACCTATACATAGTCCAGGAAGTCATAAATCAAAAGACTGCACGTTTTCCTGAATTAGTGATATTTACCTGGAATCTCTGGCACAACACATGTGTGCATGTGCATGTGAGTGCCTGCCCCCCTAACTCCACACACAATGTCTCAACTCATTTCAGAGAGTGTGGCCATGATATAAAACCACAGAGAGATTGAGGAGCAGAACAGGCAGATCTACTGACATAAATTGTTATGGGGAGCAACAGGTGAAACTAGAGAGGTCTGTTGCCCCATACGTGGGCTAGCTCCCTGGCTGGGAATTGAACTCAGGCTATCAAGGTGATACAGCTGAGACTTAACCCCTATACCACCAAGGAGGCCCTAATAAGTTTTAAATTAGAGCACCTCCCAGAGGAAAGATTTCCCGGTGTCACCAATGAGGTCCTTCACTGATTTCTCCACCATTCAGGAACTTAAGGTGGTACTCACTCCAAAGACATCTGGATTTATTTATTTACTTTAAAAGATTTATTTATTTATGCATACAAGAGCTGGGGTATAGGCTAGAGATGCGGGAGGTGAGAAGATCCACCAGAGACAGAGCAGGTAACAGAACAGGCAGACTGACTGAAATACATTGTTGAGGGGAGCAGCGGGCAAGACAGGAGAGGTCTGCCTCACCATGTGGATTTCTCCCTGTCTGGCTGGGGATCGAACTGGTGCTGCAGAGGCTGTGGAGTGCTTCATAGTGCGGTGCTTAACCCCTTGCACCACTGGAGAGCCCCGACATCTGGATTTAAACCATAACAGGGAAAGGCTTTTCCTTGGAATCTTTTCTCTGTCTTAAAAACAGTATTTACATTTTATACCTTTTATTTTCATATCATTTAGAACAGTTTTTCTGATCCTCACAAAATAATTCTTCCTTGTTTCAGCCCTCAGTTAATAAATATTCCCCATTCAAATGACCTTGGTTCTATCTCCTGACTGAACTTCAAACGTGATAGAATTGGTAGCAGTGATGATCCCAGCACATACACCTATAAAATGGAATTCTGGGAATGTCCTTACAACCAGCTGACTGAAAAAGACTAACCTTGAGCCTGGCTTATAGATGAATTTTCATAATATGAAAATTGAAAGTGCAGCTGATTCTATAGCATCACTCAAGGACAAACCCAAAAACAGCGGTGACAGAAAATCCTCCAAATGGTCAGAACTTCGAGTGTGACATTTGATTGTCCACTATGTCTGGAGTGTGAAAATAGCCAGAAGTAAATGACTATATTAATTCATGGATAGTTTCAAATGGTTTGGTTTGATGGTCAAGGACTTGGAAGGAAACATTAGAAAAATGGTGAAAAGGGAGCTTCAGGAAAAAGTATGCTGATGGACTTTTCAGGATGGACACAGACTGTGAAGATATTAGTGAATAAGAAATGTGCATCAATGGGCCATGACTGCAGAGGAAATTCTTTTTTTTATTTTTAATTTTTTTAGGATTTATTTATTTATGCATACAAGAGCTGGGGTACAGATGTGCAGGAGGGTGAGAGGATTCACCAGAGACAGAGCGGGGAGCAGAACAGGCAGACTGACTAAATACACTGCTGAGGGGAGCAGCGGGTGAGACAGGAGAGGGCTGCTCGCCATGTGCGTTGCTCCGTGGCAGGTGCAGATGGAACCGGCACTGCTGAGGATGCGGACAGCTTCACAGTGCTTCGCTTAACTACCTGCGCCACCAGGGAGGAAATTCTTAATGATCAGATGGACAAAAATATAGACTCCAGGACTGTCTGCATCCTTTCCCCAATCACTGCATTCCCTATGTAATGGGCATGTGAACTAAATGATTATGGTGCCAGGATGGAATTTAAAATGTACAGTAAGTTCTTTAAAAAGATAAGCTCTGCTTAGGGCATGATTGTGTGTGTGTGTGTGTGTGTGTCTGTGTATCCAAGAGTCCAAAACCATGGGTTTAGTGCATACTATAAGCCATATAATATATTTGGTATGGAAGATACAATGGTGATGCTATTTCTTCCAGGAAGGCTTCCCAGAACCCACATGTTTGGGAATCCCCTTTATGTGTTCCCTGAGTAAATCTCTACCTGCCACCTACAATTCTAATCATGTTTTCTCTTTCTTCTTAAATTTACATTGCTGACAGTCTGTCCTTATGCTTGACTTAAAAACTAGTAACTGGTACCTATTTTATCAAAAATAATTGAAACTACCTGATGGGAACTTAACCATCGTTCAATAAAAGATGTGTCGATGCCAACCTACTTGCTTTATACATCAGTGTCATTCTCCTTACCTTGTTTCATTTTTTGCAATTTCATCCTTAGTGGTGTGAACTGACCATGTAGGTTGAGAGAGACTGTGTGTGGACTGGATCCTGGACCTTGTCTGGTAGGGAGCTGGAGTAAAATGAAAGAAAGCAGTAAGTCCAGAATAATGTTTTTTTTAAAGATTTATTTATTTATTTATACAAGCACTGGGTACAGTCAGAAGCATGGGAGGGTGAGAGAATTCACCAGAGCCAGAGCAAGCAGCAGAGCAGGCAGAAGGACGGAAGTACACTGCTGAGGGAAGCAGCAGGCGGCAGGAGAGTTCTGCTCGCCATGAGGGACACTCCTCCGGTGGCCGGGGAGCAGCCGGGGATCGAACCAGCGCTGCAGAGGCTGCGGGCAGCTTCGCAACACAGCGCTCAACCACTGCGCCACCGGGGAGGCCCAGTCCAGAATAATTTCTATGAAAGTTTTGAATTTTAAAACTGGGATTGACCAGGCTAAAGTTAAATAACTGTCCAAGATCACACAGCTAGTAAGCAACAGGGTCAGGAGTTCATTCCTGAGCAGTATGGATCAAAAACTCTGTGCTTTTCAAGTTCGATCCCCGGCAGGCCAGGGAGCAACACACATGGTACCGCAGACCTCTCCTGTCTCGCCCGCTGCTCCCCTCAGCAGTGTATTTCAATCAGTCTGCCTGTTCTGCTCCCCACTCTGTCTCTGGTGAATCCTCTCACCCCCTGCATCTCTGGCCTGTAACCCAGCTTTTGTATGCATAAATAAATAAATCTTTTTTAAAAAAACACAAAACTCTGTGCTTTTAATTAATATATGTGCTGTATTTTCTCCTTACTTGGTAGTAAAGAATTATATTTTATTATATTAACTTTGGAATTTTTCTCCAACATAGTTGGGGAAACAGTTTATTTGTAGTGTTTGTTAAACACTTTATTGGCAGTTTATTTCTAACACTTGTGAAATGACTGCAAAATAGAGACAGGCCCAAAAAGGGGGGGTTCATGACAAGTCCCACTGTTACAGGGCAGCCCCGATATAAAACGGGTTGCCTGACTGTGGGTCCGCACACTTAAAAAGGACTTATTAATACTCTACCACAGGCACACCAAAAGGTTAATAAAAGGTTTATTTACAAGGGAAGGGGAAATGAGGAAATGCACAACTCAGGGAGAAAAGAGGGAAATAGAGTCTTAAATGCATCCTACCCTTTCTGCTGCCCTGGAATCCCATTGTCGCTCTGAGAGCTGGCCGCAAGCCACGAGCCATGAAGCCAAGAGGAGAGAGAGACCCCAAGGCCCATGTGTCTGGTTTTTATACCAAACCTGGCTGCTTAACTCCACCCTCAGGTCCCAGCAACCTTCCCTTGGTGGTGATGGGATTTGTCTTTCCCAATGTCTTGATAACTTTGGTCTGGAGTTGGGGTGGAGTCCACAAAGCCTGTATGGAATTAGCTCAGGACATCCTCTCCCCGCTAACAACACTAAGACTTATCACTTAAACTAATTACAGTTTCAGCTGCTCCCAAAAGTGAAAATTTAAATTGAAAAATCTGGAGTTTCCAGGTCAGCATTTGTGAGATAATCTGTAGGATAAGGCCTACCTGCTCTCCCTTAAGGGAGGGCAGCTTTGCCTGAAGTAATTTGTCTTTTCTTTTGCTAATGACCTTGTTCCACCCTCTTTCTGACTATAAAAATCTATGCTTTTTGTATAGTTCTTTGCAGGGCTTTTCAATTTACTAGATGGGATGCTGCCAGATTCATGAATCATTTAATAAAACCAATTGGTTCTCTAAATTTTTTCAACAATACTTACTTAAGGAAATACTGCTGTTAAAAATGCGCTAGGGGGCCTCCCTGGTGGCGCAGTGGTTGAGCGCTGGGTTGTGAAGCTGCCCGCAGACTCTGCAGCGCTGGTTTGATCTCCTCCAGCCACCAGGCGAGGGTACCAAATGGCGCGAAGACTTCTCCTGCCGTCCGCTGCTCCCCTCAGCAGTGTACTTCGTCAGTCTGCCTGTTCTACTCTCTGCTCTGGCTCTGGTGAATTCTCTCACCCTCCCACACCTGACTGTACCCAGTGCTTGTATAAATAAATAAATAAATATTTAAAAAAAAAATGTGCTTGGGAAGCTCAGGGGTTAAAGGCTCAGCATCATTAAGCTATCGCCAACCACTGTGGCATGAGTTCCATCCCTGGCCAGGTAGCTAACCAATATGGCACAGCAGAACTCTCCTGTCTTGCCCACTGCTCCGCTCAGCAGTGTATTCAGTCAGTCTGCCTGTTCTGCTCCCCACTCTGTCTCTGGTGAATCCTCTCACCCCCTGCACCTCTGGCCTACACCCCAGTTCTTGTACGCATAAATAAATAAAAATAAATCTCTAAAAGAAATGCACTTGGGGAGCTGAGGGAGCAGAAGAAATCATCTTAGCAGTCAGGTCCTAGTGCTTCTAACAAAAAGCAGATACACCTTCAGGAAATATAGTATCAAGGGTTCATAGCCATCCTGGGAATAGTAAATGTTTTATTAGCTCAATAGCTCTCAACTCTACTCTCTTCTGGAGTTTTTAATGCGCGTATATTTGTTTTTGCTTGTTTATTCAAGGTAGATCTCAATTTCACAAACTGTTGGGGACAGTTTGCTACTTTCTAATATCAAGACATAGTCTTTTGATAAGTAAAGCAAAGCAGACTGACTTTCTTTATGTCAATTCTATTCTCCTTTACATCCAAAGTTTAATTTGGGAAACAAAATAATATGACCCAAAAGAGGACGTTTTTGTTTAGAAAGAATGGCTTGTGGCTGTTTTCTTTAGAAAACTCTAGGTGTAACAGACACTTATGAGTCATGAAATATTTAGTACTATAGTCTAAGAGTAATTTGTCCGTAATACAGAGATTAGTGCAAAAATGTGTTGAAACTTTAATTGCTGATAACATTCATTATATTAGTAAATATTAAAAATAAAATCAGTATTATTTGTTTTTAAATTGATTTAATTTCAACAAACACTTCTTGAGTATCTAGTAGTTGACAGGCTGAAGTTATAGTACTAGGGTTTTTACAGTAAACAAAACAAAACCTTTAGCAACTTTCATCTATTTCACACTATTCAAAGGAATATAGTTTTGTGTATATGCTTATATGTTCTTATATGGTTAAGAAGGAAGTGAGATTTTATTTTTATATTCCCCATACAATTGCAATCCCCTTATTTTGACCCCAATCCCACCCCTCCCCACCCCCACCCCTCATAGAGTGTCTCTGGTTCATAGTGGTTTGTTGATTTTGATTTTTACTTTCTTACAGTTATTTATTTTCCTGGTCCCTTATTTAAGTTTTCTAGATTCCTGCTATGAGTGAGACCATCTGGTATTTTTATTTTTCTTTCTGGCTTATTTCGCTGAGCATGATCCCTTCCAGCGCCATCCATGTTGCTGCAAATCACATGTGTTTATCTTTTTTGATTGCTGAGTAATATTCCATGGTGTATATGTACCACATCTTCTTGATCCAGTTATCTATTTTTGGGCATTTGGGTTGTTTCCAAAGCTTAGCTATTGTAAACAGTGCTGCTATAAACATAGGGGTGCAGGTGCTCTTTGGAGTTGATGTTTCTGTGTCCTTTGGATAAATACCTAGGAGTGGAATAGCTGGATCATATGGAAGCTCTATTTAAAAAATAAAATAACATAAAATAAAATAAAAAATCAGGTTTTACATAAATTAAAAAAAAAACAGTGTTACTTCAATAAAATGTTTTAATGTTTGAAGTGGTAAATTTATGTTATATGTATTTTACCACAATGAAAAATTAATGCATATTCTTTATTTTTTTTTTTATTTTTTTTTTTTAGAGGCATGTTTTATTTATTTGTTTTTGTTTGTTTGTTTATACATGCACTGGGTACAGTCAGAAGCGCGGGAGGGTGAGAGAATTCACCAGAGCAGAGCTGGGAGTAGAGCAGACAGAAGGAACGAAGTACACTGCTGAGGGGAGCCGCGGGCGGCAGGAGAGGTCTGCGCGCCATGTGGGACCCTCCTTCGGTGGCCGGGGAGCAGCTGGGGATCGAACCGGCGCCGCAGAGGCCGCGGGCAGCTTTGCAACCCAGCGCTCAACCGCTGCGCCACCGGGGAGGCCCAATGCATATTCTTTAAAAACGATATTTTAAAGTATATTAAAAAGCAAAGTTAACTACCACAATTAATTTATATTTGTGTTACAACAGATTATACAAACAATATAAATCTAAATGTTGTTTCTCATTGAATTGTTTATAATGTATTCATACATGGGAAAATGTGTTATTTATAAAATAAAATGTATGATAAAGCCTTGAGAATAATTATGAATCAACTATTAAAATCACAGAGAGTATCACAATTTTATGAGAGATAAGAGAAAAATTTCTCTTTATATACAAGAAAAGAGAAGGTGAAAATGTTAAAAATTAAAAACTAGAAGTTGTGTACAATTCTATTTTTGGTTAATGAGAACATGAAAGTAGCACACATTAATTTTATACAATGAAGACTGACTATACTTTGAATAAATATGTCAATCTGTGAAAAAAAAGAGAAGGAAGTGAGAGTTGGGAAAGTTACTGTTTTATGGAATGGTCAGGGAAGGTAATATTTGAGCAGAGATCTACTGAAAGGGAGAAAATAACACATTTGGAGAACAACATTGAAAGTAAAAGAAACAAAGAGCAGAAGCAAAGACCCTTGGTAACATTGATTCTTGGCATGACCATAGACATAAACAAGGAGAAGTGTTATAAATGTTAGGTCAGAAAAACTGGTGGGAACTACATCACTGATGCCTTTGCATGTGCTTGCAAAGATTTGCTTTTTTACTTGAGGAAGACAGAAGAACATTGAGAAATGTTTTTGTGCAGAATTTTTTCAAATCATACATTTGGAAAAAAATCACTCTGGCTGCTATGTGGAGAACATAATTTAGGAGGACATAGTAAAAGCAAGGATGCCTTTAGTGAGGTTATTGCAACACATGATTATGGTTTAAACTGGGGAAGAAAGGGTTGATTACTAGACAAATCCTGAAGATTAACCAAATGGACATCCCATTTACTTAAGATTTTAGGACTTGAGTCATATGATCCTCCTTCTTAGGCCACATTGATTCAGCCAGGGATTCATGTCTAAGACAATGGCAGACAGAAGGAAAACAAGATTGCCATAAGAAAGCTCAATCTCCTTTAATTTAATTATGAAGAGACTAGGGGCCGAGGATGAACCCACAATTTTTGGCATAAGCGATTTAAATAGTATTGCTATGGAGATGAGAAAAATTGCGTAATGGTTAGGTTTGGGGAAGGGTAAAAAAGCAGAATTTCAAATTTAGATATGTTAACTTTGAGAGGCCTTTTAGTATCAAGTAAATATGTTGAGTAGGCAATTAGCAATTGTGAATGGAGTTTCAGCAAAAATCTAGGCAGGAGGTAAAACATGTGAGTCATGAGTATGTAGATGAATATGTAGATTAAAACTCTGAGATTTAATGAGCACACCAAATATGTAGGGCTAGAGAGACAATCTGAAGACTGAGGCTGTGGTGCTCTAATGTTTAGAGTTTGGGAAGAAGAAAGGAAACTAGCAAAAGAAACTGAGAAAAAACGTAAGTGAGCTAAGAGATAATAATTTAAAAACATTTACAATTTTCAGACACAGATATGCACTGTGAGGATAAATAATCCATATGGTGAAATTATGCAATATTTGCTATGGAATGAGCAGAAAAACAAGTATTTTAGTTTCATAAAAGAAGAAATGTATTCTAAGTCTATATCTTTGCTTCTGTAAAAGTAGAAACATTCTGATTGTTTGGGATAAGTTAATATAAATGTGCTAAGTAGTTATAAGGCAAATTTGAAAAAGTTTTTCAGATAAAATACAGTCTGAAGTAAAATAAATCTAAAAGTCAGGAAAGCTAATATTAAATAAAAAAATTAACCAGTCTTCTAAATTCTCCTTTTGAGAGAAACTTGAGTTTTTCTAACTTTTCAACTCAATATGTTCTCTGAGGAGACATATATGAAGAGTTTCAGGTACTCAGGTTTTTACATTCTGATTTTATCTAGAACTATTATCAGAGTGATAGTAGAAACAACAAAAGAAGTCATAATTGCAGGCCCATACAAAATCAATTTGGTTTGGATTGTCACTTACAAAGATGACTAGAAACATTTCATTCCAGGAAATGAAAGTAGAATTGGCATGTGTTTTGATGTCAGAGCTAGG